AACCAGAGCAAGTGGACCACCATAGTTTTTCTTCATTTGTAGTACTTGAGGCTCTTGACTTTTAAGAGAACCAAATAAGTCAGCCAAAGTCCATGCTTCCAAATCCAAGGTAGCCTTCATAGACATGGTTAGGTGCATCCATTCAATTCCAAGGCTCTTCAAGAATAGAGAGTTGTTGTCCTCTGCCGTTCTCATTACTCCATACCTTTTGCAATTGCTAATAAGGGTGTTTAGTCTGGAGTATGTGTCCGACAGGGATTCACCCTCTTTAGCCTTGAAGCTGTGGTATTCATCAATGCAAATTGCTCGATTGTTCTTTAGAGTTTTCTTACCTCCTTCAATTTGTTTTTCTAATTATGCCCAAATATCCATGGACAATTGACAGTGATCGATACATTTGAAGATTTCGTGAGGTATTGCCATGATTAACAACCGTTTGCATTTGCTGCCCAAATCAACCAATATTTTGTTCTCATCACTCCAGTTAGCAACAGGTCTTGGCTCGTAATGTTCAGGAATTTMWGGGGTTGTGCCAGTAGCAGGAACTCTTGGAATTAAGTTCATTGGCACATAAGGAGKATTGTARAGAAATTCACATATCCTTGGGTGAATTCCCTCCAAAAAGTTAATCATTCACACCTTCCATTGCGGATACTCCTCACGAATAAGCGTGGGAGGTTTTGATTGAGAACCAGTGCTCATGAACGAGGTATTGGCCAAGTTTGCCATTGAAATTAGAAGGAGAAAAATAGGAATAAGATGAAACTGATTTAATCGAGTGAAACAGGGTAAAATGAAGAAGACTGGTGTTCAATAAAATGCAGATTAATACCAAAAACAGAATTAATCGAATGAGAATTCAATTCCTGCTCTGATACCAATTGTTAGGACCTGTAAATTCAGCTTTGGTATTTGAACTCTTACTYTGAATGATCTCTAGGACGATTACAGTGCAGCGGAAACAATGATAAGAACAAAACAGAGTAATTAACCAAGAACACACAGATTAATATGAAGAAGATGAACACAATAGAATAGCTTCAAAGGTTTTTCAATTGATTGAAAAATATAGACGATTACAATACGGAAGCACACTGAATACAAAGGCCTAAGCTGTTATTTATACTAGACCCTAACAACTTTTCTAACATGATCTATAAAGTGAAATCATCTAAACCGTCCAAATAAAGTCTATTAAAATCTAGTCACGTGAGAAGCACTTGCAGCTAACAACCTTTGAAAAACAGCAGAACAGGATCTTCACAAAAGACTAATCCGCAGACCCTCTGTGAGCCATCTCAGAGGCTCTGCTGTAGTAGACTTGCATTATCTTATTGTCAGAGGACCATTTTCTAGAATCTCTGTGAGAGACATCAGAAGTTCTGTTAAACTTTACTTGCACGATGAAACAGCTTCTGTTGCTAGTCCTCTGATGTCTTCTGTGGAAGATTCCCTTCTGTCAACACTTGCAGAATACTTTTTCATACTTTTACATGAAGTAAATATTAGAGCTAACAGTTCCCAACACAAGCAACAGCATCCCTCTTAAAATTCTTGAAATCAATTTCTGAAACTCGAGTATGCTTAAATCCCCCCCCCCCCGTTCAATGTCATTTGAATACGATGTGCCCTTCTCGCACCGACTTTGTAACTCGAGCTGTTGAGTACAGTCTTGAAATCCGTATACTTCATCTGTCTATTTTTTCTAGAGAAACGACGATCGTTATCGTTGAACAACGCATGGTTATGTTCCTCAACAAACTCGTATATCTCATAACAACCCCCGTCCTTCGTCAAGTGGATTTTTAGACATACATTACAACCACAACGTTTTAGGTTCGTATTGCGATATTTCTTCTCATCGGGCTGAATATCCAAAGAATTAAATTGCCTTTTGTTTGGGTTACCCTCTCTACTACAGACAAACCATCTATTTTGAATGTTTTCGTGTTTGTTTGTTTTTTTTTATGTGCACGAACATCAAATCCGGCCTTGTCCACATAATCTCTGTACATCTTTTCAGCATCGTTTAAAGTTGCATATTATGCATTCGTCTTTGGCTTAAGTGTGTCATCCACATTTGGGATAAAATACTTGCTTCCTTCTGAGGTCTCGCCAATATCATATTCAAAATCGGTATGTGGAGGGGTGAGATCATCCAAACCTGCTTGTAAAGATGTAGTTAGTCTTGAAAACTAAAGTTATTATTACACAAACTAGAGAATTAAAAAAAAGAACAGTGATGCAAGGTTCCATCTCAATTTTGGTGGGCAAGTAAGTTTGCATCCCATGACACAATCACAGTAGGTAGTGAATATCAATGTATAGTGTGAACATAATGTTGAATAATCGTACATATTATACATCACGGATTTCCATCATTTGTAAAATATGAATGCTTTTTTTCAGCGATTAAAAATATTTACAGTTAAAGTGTCCTGTCTCTTACATATATTAGCTATTACATGAAACATTTGTATTGTGACAGCCTGCATACATCTTACACATCAAACTTTGTATAAGATATATCGGGTTCGTTTTGCATTGTTGGGCTATCATCTTTTGGAACTATTTAGAGCATGCAGGGAAAAATAACGTCAATTGATTGGACCTTCAACGGAGTGTGAGATGAAATGTTCCAAGTCGAAAATCCTCGACTTAGATCAATTTTAACTAATACTAGTAACCACTTTTCATAGTTGTCGACAACCAGGGTGTAGTGAACATAATGGACAGTTACTATGTGTTCATATAAGTAGTTGTTCATTAGGAATATGGTACTAGTAGATAATGCAAGTACTTAGGAATCTGGTACTTTTAGATGTTGCAAGTAGTAGTATATTTAAAGTGGTGGTCTATGTGAAACCCAAACGAGTTGGAATTGTGTAGGATGGTGATGATGATGATGATGGTGATTTTAGACTATCTAATGAACATTAAGTGTTCACTGTCGCCTTTACAACTATCTAATCAACAGTAGGTGTTCAATGTTGTCTTTGATCTGTATACTAAACAATATCTGGTAAAACAATTGATTTACCTCCCAGACACATTCACAATGTGGGTGGATAAGTGGCACACACGCAACACTGCCAGATAAAACAATTACAAGTCTGGTTCCGTTTGACATAAAAACAAAGTTAAAGTAGAACTTTTATTGATTATACTTGTGTCCCTGATTTTTGGAGTTAAATCCCACCGACTACGGCCATGTAATACGGTGTGTGTGAACAAGACCAATATCACATTGATTCAAATTTGTTCATACATATATGGAAAGTAGTTGTTCATTCATATATCTTCATTTTGTAATACTGTATGCAGAATCAATATGTTCAAATGAGTTGCTGTTCATGTTGATTTTAGACTATTATGGAACGAACAGTAGCTGTTCATGTTGGCTTAAATATGTAAAATGAACAACAATTGTTTAAAGGAGTTATATATCTCCCAGACACAATCACAACATGGCCGTTTAGGTGACACACACGCAGCACTTCTCGATAAAATGATTACATTTCTGATTCTTTATGACATAAAAACAGATTGAAAGAATAAGTTATATTATTTATACGTGTGTCATTGAATATTGGAGTTAAATCCCACCGTCCTTGATTTGATCGTGTGTGCAGCAGAAAAACATATGAATTTCCCGGGCATATCAAACACCAAAATATACGGACGATGTTCAACATGTCAACAACAGTCATTGCAGCCAGAATAGCCGATAATTCTCGAAGGTAACAGCTGTTCATTTAAACGGAAGAAAAGAATGATATTGAGCACATACCAATATGAACGGTTTGATCATTTTCTTCACTTTCGGAATTCGAATTCCGAATGTATTCATAGACGCTTTTAGCTTTTTCGTTCTTATTGTCGTCGTTCTGTTTTACTGTATGAGTATTCATATTACTCGAACTATAATGGTTTCTTTACAAAAGAGACGATATTCAATATTATACTATCAAAACCATTTTATAAAGAACATATGCAAAAATGATTAAGATGAAGAATTGTGAACCATGATCATCATTTAATAATTAGTATAATTTTAAGATTTGTAACTCCCATTTAAAAGATAGGGTATTTGGCAGTTACAAACCATATGCATGTGTTCAAATGCTCAGGTTCATATGTCTACATATTTCAGGCCGAATATGTATTGGGTTTTCAAGTGGGTATGCATTTCTTCATAGAGCTTGTGGTTGTTCATATTCACTTAAAATGTCTTCGCCATCTTAATTGTGAACCTTGATGTCATTAATAAATGAAGATCAATTAGTATAATTTTAAGATTTATAACTCCCATTTAAAATATTTGGGAGTTACATAAGAATGTAAAATGACCTAAATACCCTTATCATTCAAATGTGAGTTACATTTGAACCAAACTAAAATGTGAAATGTGATTGGTTGATGTTGGTTAGCATGGTTAGTACAAAAAATTGGGTTAGTATTTGAACCAGCCCCTATATAGATATATATATATATATATATATATATATATAGAGAGAGAGAGAGAGAGAGAGAGAGAGTTTGTTTCAAATACAACTCATCGTATTTGTACAACCAATGCAACCCAATAAATTGAAATATTTATGAAAATAATGAGAGTTCATTTATTATGATTTGATTATTTATGAAAGATGAATATGGTTCATTAATTATGATCAATACTTTATATTTGGAAACAATCAAAACTTTTATGAAATCACATATTAATCAAATAAAATGAACGATTGAGATTGAGTTGTATTGGTTGCACAAATGTCAAGGATTATATAATAACCAACCTCGCTCTCTCTATATATATATATATATATGTTTGCACATTTGACAAAGTTAGAACAATGGCACACCTTTAGAACTCCAATTTATTTTATTTTGTTTGTCTTAGATATTTTATCAGAAAACAAATAATTTTATTAAAGAGGTGAAATTATAAAAGGCGTATATGTGTATTTCCAATCAAATATAATAAAATGAAATAAGCGATGTCAATCTTCTATACTTTGATAGAACACCCTTTTAAAATCCTCCATGTGTCTCACCTGTAAACATGACGCTACAACCAGAGACCCACTTGCTTCTTCCCCACGAAGAATCAAGAAATCACCATCAACGGCGTCTCCTGTTCCTGGTCCTGTAAACAATTCCTTTCCCCAGCCAAAATCCACACCATGCATCGGTAGTGTTAACCAGCTTATCACCCCCAGATTCGGGTTGCCGTAAAATGGCCCTCCATCGTCCCTAATCCATTGCAAATCTTGAAACTTTGATAAGTCTTCTTGGTTCTTCAAGAAATCAATCATTGAGCTCACATACTCATCATTCACCTTCTCGATCGCTTCTTTTATTTTACTCGAAACATACCCTAATGACTTTGAAACTATCTCACCGGAAGTTCCAGTGGCGATCACGTCAATAATGGCGTTTCCAAAGTACTTTTCCGGCAATGGCGGCTTCATCTTGCTTCGAACATCGATACAGATGCCTATTGCAGTTGGCTGCTCTGATTCATGATTACGAATCATGCATGCTGTTCGCCATGTGTGCGCAGTTACAGCCTCGTAACGGGTAAAACAATGGCCGCCTTCATTTTTTCGACTTTGGTTAGCTTTATTTCGCAGTTTCGTAACAAGGGTTTCGGTTAATTTCATCATTGCTACTGTGGTCTTCTTCCTTCTTTCATTCTTGTTGCTTGATTGACCTATAAGGATCGGAGGAGGAATAAATTGTCCATATTGATGGATACTCGAACATGTCGTTATCGGAGACTCACCAGCACGTAAAATTTTTCTGTCAAGATAGGGTGGTGATGCCACTAACCCACCGCGACAAACCCTAGCCCATTCTGAGAGAAAATGCAAAGCGCTTTGCCCGTCAACAACAACATGGGATATACAAAACCCTAGAGACCAACTTCCACAACAAAATCTTGTAACCTGCAAAAGCAACAATGGGGTATCTTCAAGGGGTGTTTGACGATAATCTACTGAAGGAATGAGTTTGTTTATCATTGGAGACTCCAACAAATCATCTAGGTCAACTAGTTTAATGTCAGCATAAGCTTCAGTTAACTGTACACCGGCGGAGTTGCAGTCAAGCTCCAGACGACCACCGGCGATGGAAGATAGTCGACCGGCTAAAGGGTAGAAATGAACAAGTGTGGTGGTGAGGGAAGTTATTAGGGTTTGTAGAACAGTGTTCCAGTCGTCGGAGGGCTGTGTGTAGAAGTAGATGGTTGGGACGTGGGTGGTCATACCGGTCTGATCCAACTCCGAGAGGGCTAGCCTACCCGACCATGTTGGTTCAGCTGGTTTGACCATGGAAGAAGGTTTGATGGTGACTCTCATTTTGGTTGAAGAAGAGGGTTTGAATGTTTGAGGTATTTATAGGGCAAAATGAAGTGGTCATTACAATGGTGTGAGACTTGAGTTACGCCTGAAAGAAAGTGAGAGTGTTTGATTGCTAATGTTCATGAGGAATGGTAGTTCATTAGAAAAAAATGGAATATAAAAATCCTATCATAACATCGTTCCTTGTGGTTTCTTCTGGACGTGAAGATAAAATAATGCCTTCAAATCTATATATGAAACATATCATTTCTAAAGGATTTGAAACCTAATTAAGATAGACATCTCATACTTAAGTCGATTTTTGTTGTTGTTATTGAATAATAATTTATTTTTTGTAATGCATATCTTATGATTATAGAATATCATAATGTAATATCAAGTTAAATTGAACTTTAGAAACTTGCATATAGTGATAGTTATGCTCAAACTAATTGTATATGACCATATAAAAATGTTTAATTTGTCTTAAAACTTAGAAAAACTTAATACCATATGTGTATCATATTTTTAAATTTCTAAACATCATTGAGTAAGGAGTGTTGTGTAGTTTAAAAACCATATATAGCCTTAGGTAACAAACCACATTATGGGTGACAACAAAATTGGAATTACGAGATTCAACATCGAATCAAGAAATATAATGCAAAATAAAAAATAATCTTCGAGAATCATATTTATGAATATAGAAATCACAAAAAAATAGTTGAAATTTAGTAATCTAAATTATAACTAATATTACAAATGATATTTGTGGTTCCGAGTTGAAATTAGTCAGTGGTCTAATTGTTTTATGTAGAGTTTGATCATATTAATTCATGAACATCAGGTGCAAACACTTACACAAATATAAATATTTAGGATCAAGAATCAAAAATGACACTTGTGTTCATATGACACAAAATTTCATCATGAAATGTTATATCTACTCAAATGAGAGTAGTAACATGAACACAATGGTTTATGATTCATAAAAGTCGGTTATATGACCATATGAAAATCACTACTAGAAAACCAGGTATCAGCGACGACTATCAGCGAGGGAATATTTCCCTCGCAGATCAGCGAGGGATCAGCGAGGGAAGTGACAAAAAACACATTCCCTCGCTGATCCCTCGCTGATCTGCAAGGGAAAAATTCTCTCGCTGATCCCTCGCTGATCTGCGAGGGAAGTTCCGAAAAAACTAATTCCCTCGCTGATCCCTCGCTAATTTGCGAGGGAACTTTCTTCTACA